ACTTTTACTCGCAACGGGATAACTAACGCGAGAAATCTACACAGATGGAGCATTTCGAATCCACACCTGAAAAGAGAGTCTACATTCCAAGTGCAGTTTTCTGTGAATGTTTGGGCAGGACTTATTGGTCGTTATTTAATAGGACCAGTCATTTTATCTGCAACGTTAAGAGGGGAGACATTTTTAAGCCTGTTGAGAGACGATTTGCCAGACCTACTAGAAGATGTGCCTATTCTTGCATTACAACGTATGTATCTGCAGATGGACGGGTGCCCCGCTCATTATTCGTTAAATGTGCGAAATTTTTTAAATGAGCGATATCCCAACAAGTGGATTGGCCGCGGAGGGCCAGTGGCATGGCCCCCGCGGTCACCAGACTTAACACCACTCGACTACTTTTTTTGGGGAGCCATGAAGCAAGCGGTATACAGTGAACCGATAAATACTCAAGCGGAACTTATCGACCGAATCAACCATTTCGCTCAAGAAATTAAAGAGAACGAAGATATGGTTCAATCCGCGACCAAACAAATAGTAATGCGGACGCTAATGGGCCTACAGCAAAATGGAAACCATTTTGAAAATCTTATGCACAACATTTAATAAACAAATAAATATTTTTTGGCATAATATTATTTTTTATTTAACTTAAAGCTTACCAGCTTCATCTAAGTTGATGCGCTTCTTTTGTAATGAGAGAAGTAGAGCTATGTAGATTAGATATGGACGGCGGCCGGCTGACTCAGATTAGGTGTGTACTTTAAACGCCTATAATTTTCGTTTTAATTAATATAAATTCAAGATTTTTTTTTAGTTGAAAGATAATATCATGTAGAATTAGAAGAATTGTGAAAATAATGCAATAAACAGGGATTTTTTTTTGCGAAAATTGACTTATAGAGAAAATTTTACGATTTTTTAAAATAAATTTTGGATAAATTATTATTTTTTATATTTTTTTGTTTTAAAGTCTACGTAGTTATGATGTATTTTTGATGTACTACTAATAACAATGCTAATAATTTTTACTTTGTTGCAATAAAGCTAGTAAAAAAAAAGTTAAAACGTTTTATGTAAATTAAGTCGTCCGATCGAGCCAAAAAATTATATATAAACCCACGTAAAATATTCAATTTATTTTTTAGATTTTTTTTTTATTTTTTTTGTCGACCATTTGTGGTCTACTCTCACTCTGTTCAGTATGTGCACTTTTACCAGGGACACACTGTATATACGGACTTATGCTTGGTACAGCTGAAGCAACGGTCCCGGTGTCACGTAAGGCCTGTCAAGCTTCCTGGCTGCAATTTTAGCCGTAATTTTATGTCCGCCTTAAGTGTCAAATCCAAACGATTAACCAAGAACTTTCGACAAGACTGGAATTCTCCATTAACCCTGGCATTGGTCAAGTACCTATCTACAACTGTGCTGTTATTAGCATACGCAAAGGTACCTGGAATTAACATGTATTTGACATGCAGCAGAAAGAGATGCAGACTGTACTGAACCCTAAGGAACTCTGGCACCTATCGCCCGATGTACGGAAGAGTAACCTTCTTTCTCAAGCTTGGCATACCAAGCTTCCTGGCTGCAATTTTAACAATAGATCTATGTCAGCCTTAAGTGTCAAATCCAAACGACCAACAGTGAATTCTCGACAAGACTGGAATTCCTCTCCAGGGCGAAGAGTTACCTTCTAAGACCACTCGAATCGAACGTTCCCTCAAGAAATCCGAGATCCAATTGTAAAGGTCAGTGGCAAGCCCTTAAGAGGGAAACCGTTTTGAAAGGCTTGCATGCTATACACTGTCAAAGGCTTTAGAAATGTCCAAAGACACTACAACTTTCTGACCAGCTCAAGCCGATTCTGCGATAATGAGCGTGATGACTCCCTTATTAATTAAGACATACATACAGGTGTATTGTAAGTAGTAGTTCATATTTGCGAGAGTTAAACTTAAGATTTAAAGACTTGAGCATTGAGTAGAGTTCTGGAATACGACCCTTTGATTGAGTGACGACACTTTTGCCAA